AGTAGTAGTAGTAGTAGTAGTAGTAGTAGTAGTAGTAGTAGTAGTAGTAGTAGTAGTAGTAGTAGTAGTAGTAGTAGTAGTATAGTAGTAGTAGTGTTTCCAATACTGTATTGTATTATAGAACACCCTTGTTATCGGTTATAGGAATCGCATCGTTGCATGTAGAACTCCTGATGTAGAATCATTTATAATAGATCAATTTTGCTCAGTTCTTTTGATTTTCCGCTCGCTGCTGTTCACAGTCTATAATCTTGATAGGGTACATCGTCGAATATCTGCCGACGTAATTATGCATAAAATAAAGAGACGACGACCGAGGCGTACGAGCTTTCCGGGGCCAGAGCCGGTCTACTCATCCGGCAAATCTCTGACCAGCTGATATTATTCCCGTGAATCCCCGTGAATTATTCCCGTGTGTCGTGTGTCGTGGCTGGCGTTGGTGCCATTCAGCTGTCCCGCACGATCATGCCTGAGCGCACATCAATCAGTTACGTGGCACTTAACGGCACAACCCAGGCGCGCTGTCTGGGTAAATACCCTTTGCTGACAGTAATGCACGCAGTGGCGGCTGGTCCGGCTGCATAGTTTGCACAGCAGTGGGGCTGAGATTGCCTGCGTATGTCCAGCCAGTCGTGTTTATTGTCCAGTGCGAGGCTTCATGATTGTGTACTGATTGGTCATCTTGGCAGAAGCAGCGATTTGGGCAAAAGCCGACGAGAGCACCACACCACATGCCGAAGCTTGGTGCGGTCATTGCGATCATGGCGTCTACGTACTACTCGGGTTTCCGCAGCTGGATTAGACGTGAAACGTATATACACGCCCGTCTTGCCACCGCAGACTGATTTACCCTCGACGCCTCTGTCCTATCATATTTTAAACTTCCCTAACCGCTCAGACTCGATCACCATTGTATAGTTGGTAAATTAAACTGATATATAAGTCATTTGACAAGAACTTTCGCATACGACCATTACGAAATAAATAGCCAGTCGCACCGCTATGCGCCTGTAGACTTTAATACACGCCTGTATATTTTAATATATAACACATGAAAAGCTCTAATTTAAATAACTTTGCTAGAATATTGCGGAAAGGAAGATTGAAAGTTTGCTTACCCGTTCTTTGGGCTGCCTGTCCACCAGCCCGGCTAATAGGCCTATGTGCTACTTGTTATCGTTAGCCGTGCGCCCTGCCCGCCCGTGTTACAAGCGCGCTACTGGTTTCTCCACCTATTTATCTGCAAGATTGTCCGTCGTTTGCGCCATATATGTATAATGGTATAATTTATTGTCTAACTAGCTCTCTGTCTATCTGCCTGTCTTTTTATCGTCGTGGCTAACGATTATAGGGCCTATATCTGTCTGCCATCTTGTTAGAGCAAGCTACTGTTGTTTGTATAACTGCCTGCACGCATCTATATCATTGTCTATCTGTCAGCATCTATGCTTGCCTACCTACCTGCTACCATTGCTTATCTGTTTTGTCTATGTTTGCTACGTGCCTGCATTAAAGTTTGCATACCTGCCTGCATCTATGTTTGCCTATCTGAATGCATCTATGTTTGCATGCATACCCACCTGCATTCACACTTGCCTGCCTGTTGGTGTGTATGTTTACTTACGTGCATGCATTGTTTGTCAATCTTCCTGTATTATACTTGGTCTACATGTTTGAACATGCCTGTCTGCCTATTTGATACGTAGTCATATCGTGCTATAATGTGATATTCTCATTTCTCATCTGCACAAAGGCAGAAATAAACGAGCAATAAATGCAGTACATATACCAGCGTTGTCACAAAAATCTGAAATTGCACGTTCTAACACGTTATGCAGTAACCGAATCCGATGAACTGCTTTGGACGAGACCACGTTTTTTCTATTTAGAAGTGCATTACATTCCTGTCAAAGGAATCCTATTGGAAAGTCACTGCAAAGGTCACACTACCTTCGCATAAATATTGTCAGAAACGTTTTCTGTCGGCTTCGATCAGACAAAATTGACGTTAGATATCGGTAATGATTACCGTGAAGAGCTCCCGGCTTTGGAACGTTGTGGAACCTCTTTTATTCACAAAAGGTTCAGGATCTAAAGCTGACACATGAGCGATGTGACAATGATTGACCCCGCGTGGGAACATACGTGATCATATAGCAAAGATGCAGTCTATACTATTTCTCTCAAACTTACCCGTGATTTTCGGAGAAAACAACAGTCAAATAAAATCGACTGTGCAGCAGTTTTAAAAGTCGAATCTTTACGCATAGGCTGTGTAAAATGCAATCCAATACCGGCAAGAATACGTAAGTACGTGTAGATGAAATTGTTGGCGCAGAGATTTCAGAGGATTCGTCACACAGGAATCAGCTACATTACACAGTAATAGTGTTCAATCACCTCGCCGCTCGTTCATTCACTTCTAGTTGTCATACTAGCTAAACACTAGTAGTCGGTGGGCTGGGCAGGAGCTCAGAATTCCACCATACTCTGTGTCATA